GAAATGAAAGTAAATTGTTATTAATTTTCCAAAATAATAAAATATAGTAATTAGCATTTATTAAATTAGTGGTAATGGAGAGATAAGTGGGCATCAGTGAGTCACTTCAGTTATATCTGTAAAATATTTAAAAACCAACTCCTACCAAACTCTCAATATAAATGACGCTTACTTATAGTTAATGTGTTAAAAAATTTAATACATTCGTTCATTTATTATTTCTAAAGGAAATTAAATATAAACCATAAGAAAAGACAGAAAAATTTTCAAATTAAAATATTACTAAGTCTTTGAAAAAAGTGACCCATTGATGCCCACTATATATATATAATGTGATCATCAACGAGAAATGGGACCTTACAGGCAAAAAATTTTAGGTTATGTTTTGCCATATAGTTTTAGTTTGATTAAACGTTCATTTTTAATTATGTAAAATCAAAATGAATATTTTGGATTTAATAAAGGACATATAAACATTATAGTCGTTTGTATTAAGATTTAATCCTCTTTTCGTCTCTAAGGTCCCTTTACTCGTGTAGGCGTCACATATATATATATATTTTTTAAATTCTATATTTTAAAATACGTATATTCCAAATTATTGAAAGTACATTCGAGTGAAAAATAAGAGACAATTTCGATATAGTAAAAATGTCAAATGTGAAATAAAGTCGAATAAAAATAGTTTCTCAGAAAATTGAATTCACCATCCTTCTCAATCCTTTGGCACCTTGAATATCTTCTTTTATCCGTCTGTCCATTTTTGTATATATATATATATATATATAGTCTGCAGAAAACTTTCTACAACTACGAAGAGAGGCTTTACATGGAATGTTTTACAACAAGAGGCCATATAGTGTGATCCTGGGTTTTATTTATTTCACTCGATTCGATTGACATGAAACAAGTGTGCGAGGTAAAGTCCCTCGCTTATCTTCTCACCCTTGTCCATTTCTCTTCACGAGAGTCTCTCTCTCTCTCTCTTTTTCTCTCACGGAAAAAAACTTTTTTCGACTTTTCCTTTTTCTTATGGTCGATTTTATTCATTGTCGAGTATCAAGTCCAACTTGTATCACTTTTGGCAACAAAACGCAATGCTTCCACCAACTAATTGGAAATACTCGTCGTCGTCGTCGCAACAGATTTCATCACTTTCGAGATTCGTTGCAAAAAGTTTTTGATCTCGATCGTCTTCTAAGGGATGAGGTCCACCCAATCGAAGAGTTCAGAAGTTTCGTTGGGTTGGCTGATTATTTGCAACAAGAGAGAGAGTGAGAGAGAGAGAGAGGAAACCTCCTCTATCGACTTAACTTTACTGCTTGAGGATATAGCGAGAGGATACTTGGACAAGTAGTTGAAGTATCGACCTGACCTTCCCTAATGGAGAGGAAGCTTTTCTTGTAGTGTATACGTAGTACTGTGCGAATCACTGTGTTGATGGCACACGTTCCGATTACACCCAAGTCGTGGAGAATCCCAAGTGAGAGAGAGCTATTTCGTGTATTCGTAATGGAACAAAGTTACTTTTGTCAATTCCACACAAACTGTTATTTTTTTTTTTTTTTATACCCAGACAAAACACTATTTATCATATTTTCTATTTTTCTTTTCCTATACAAGTTTTATATGCAAAATTGTCATTAAATTTATAAAAACTATTTTGGATCTATATAGATATATATATGACATTTTGTCAAAATTAGATAGCTACCTTATACGCATTTCAATAGCTCAATTTATACGATAAAGATCATAATTATTTCTTCGTAACTCATCGAAAAAGCCTGAAGCATATACCATATAACATCCAAAGAGATATGTTATATTAAGATTTAAAAATGGCGCGAATTAGACAGCGTAATTTTGCGCTTAAAGTGCCCTATACCAATATGCGCGCTCGGTCTCTCCTAAAAAACAAAGCCGAAAAGTGGTTTCAACTCACGCAAACAAAAACAGGTTTCTTTTTTAAGCATGTTTCGATATACTCTCGCAGGCCCTGTTATATAGCAAAAAAAAAAAGAAGAAGAAAAAAAAATCATCTTGAACCGCCTATTTCGAGTATAATTTAGGCCTTTGAAAATTGGGGTCCTATAGCTGCGGCTTATATACAACATTCACCGCAAAATAGATTATGAAAAAAAGGGTCTACAGCAGACACCAGGCGCCTTGAAAAATTACAGTTTTAACTACACCCTTGTTCTATATTATATATATATATATATATATAGAAGAGCTGCAAAAGAGTGAAAAAAATACATTAACGAAAAAGTTGATTAGAATTTCTTAATGAAGAATTCATTATAGTTTGCATTCTTTCATGACTTGCTTCTTTAATGCTACATTTAATTATCTTAAACAGGAAGATGTTTGTGCCTTTTTTTAAAGTAGGGTTCTTAAAATTTAGCGAAAAATTATAACGAAGCTGAACGATTTAATTATGGGGTTTCATCTTCTTAAGGATGGTGTTATTTATATGCTATTTTTTGAAGGAACAATAGGCTTTTGTAAACGGCTTTTTTTAATAAATATATATATATTTCATTTTGTTTCTATATTTCAAGAATACCTAGTAACAATAAATAATTAATAATAAAAACGATATGATTCAAAATGTATACCAAAGCAAAATGATCACATTTGCAAAAGGTTCTGTGCTTTCGTATTTTGACCCAAATTTTTGTAAAAAGGAAAAACGTAGAATCTGGCTAGAAGCACGTACAGATGTAATTTACAAATAAAATTTTGCTCTAAATTTATCAAAGGCAAAGGAATAGTAGAATTCCGGCTTGAAGGAATACGTACAATTTTAATGTACAAATAAATTTTTCACCCAAATTTATAAAAGCCAAAAATAGTAGAATCTCGATTAAGAATATACGTACATTTTTAATGTTCAACTAAAATTTTGACACAAAAAAAGCAAAAAAAAAAAAAATTGAATCTCCATTGTACGTACAATTTTAATGTATACAAAAAAAATTTTATTATAAATTTATAAAAGGGAAAAAAGTAGAATCTCGATTGAAAGTACTGTAACCTAAATTTTTAATTCTTTATAATATCGTTTTAATTAAATATTAATATTTTTTTCAAAGTAGAAAATTTTTAATTGAAAAAAAAACAATTGCCAATTAAATAAAATTAGCGTTAATATATATGCGTTTATACTCTCTTTTTGTTACGGAATTAAATTAAATTTAATTAAATTGGTATTAAATTAAATTCAATGATTTACTAAAAGGAAGTGTGAAAATAAATCAAATAAGCGAATATATATTAAACAATATAAAATATTCAATCAGAAGGATCAAAATACAATTTGGAAAATTTCGCATAATATTAAATATTAAATTACAATTTAAATTATAAATTAAAATTTCCAATTTAATTTTATATTAGAGTCAGAAATTTAAACATAATTATAAATTCAATTTTATTCAAGTGAATTGATAAAAAAATTAACATTAATGAAAATCAATAAAAGTCACTATGATGAACAAAATAAATTACAAAATGAATAATAATCACATTAGTTTAATTGAAATAAGAAGAAAATTTAATAAATTGTACGAAAAGAAATAAATTAATTTAATTTTTGTTTGCCAATTTCCTAGGTTTTGCAATTTTTATTTGTCTTCTGGTAGAGACATCATTTTTGGTTTCTAACCTCAAATTTTTTAAATAAATGTTTTAAAAAGTGTATTGTTTTAATGCAAAAATAAATTCTTAACCCACTTTTATAAAAAAGGACAGCTTAATCCCAGCTTCACGTATATAATTTAAATGTATATAAAAATGTTGACCCATATTTATAAAAAGAAATATAGTAAAATTTCAATTGGGAATACACGTACAGTTTTAATGTATATAAAAAAAATTTTGCTCTAAATTTGAAAATAGAAAAAATATTGGAATCTTGATTAAAACTTATACAGTTTTATTACATACGAATAAAATGCTTTAAATTTATAAAAAAGAAAAATAGTAAAATTTCGATTGGGAATTACAAATGTACATTTAAAATTTTGTCCTTTTGTAAAAAAAAGAATAGTACACAATTCCGTAACAAATATATAACATACTGTAAGTTATAGAAAGGAAAATAGTAGAATTCCGATTTGAACTACTTATAGTTTTATAATGACAAAATAAAATTTTGTCTCTAAAATTGATCACTGAGTGTAATGATCGATTTATCTATAAAGATATAGAAAAGAACATAAAGATCTTCAATTCTTTTCCATGTTTACGGTTTTGCGTTTTCAATGCCATATGATCGATATACACGCAGGCCTGTCGATGCATATCACATATTCTAAAGGCTGTTTCATAGATCCGCAATACCTAAAGGTTGCTCCACAATACCCGTGTAGAAATGTCCCTAAGCTTCCCAACGTGATTATGGATTCCGACTAGAACCGCGCTAGAAAATCTAGCCTAAAAAAGTCGTACTCGAACCTGATTAGATTCTTGTAAGAAATTCAGACTAGAAATATTTGCTAAGATCCCGTTTGAATTCTAGAAAGGCAATTCAAACTAGAAAAATCTGATTAAGCCCTTACTAAATTCTAGCCAGAAATACCTCGAATTGGACTTAGATTATTTTTCGATGTTTTCTTTATTTAAAATATCAATTTAATTATGTTCAATAAGGGACACAAATATTTTTAAAATGTTCGTTTTAGAAATAATAATAAAAATAATAAATATTAATAATATTAAATTATAATAATAAAATTATGAAATAAATTAAATTTATTATTAAATACCACCGAGTGATATAATCAAAATAATATTATTAATAAATTACATTATTATATATAGTTTCACTTTTTATTTAATTTAAAAATAATATTTAAATTTAAATCGAAAATATCGAAATCGATGTATCGAAGTTTTCAATATATCGATGTTCCATCGTCGAGAATGATGACATGAATGGTGCAAGTCCACATGTCATTTTGTGTGAACCTGAATTTTATTGTTCTTTTGTTAATTAATAATAGAAAATAATGAGAGGAAAAAAAAGCAATCGCGAATGCGTAGCAAACAATATCGTGAGGTGAAATCCGTACGCGCTGAATTAAATAGAATGCAATATGTTCAAGATCAAGTTATGGATATTAACAATTTAGATGACTCAAATCATTTATCTTCTTTATCAGAAGGTAAATATTAACATAATATTATAAATTTAAGAATATTTAATATTAAGCCAACAAACATGAAATATGTACTTAGAATATTAAAAGTAAAAAATATATTGATTGGTTTTCTAACCTCAAATTTTGTCTTTATGTTAATATCATTATTGCAAAGTTTTAATTTTTACTATGATTATTCCAATTTCTTCAGGTAATATTATGATTTCTAACTTTTTTATTTATAATTCTGGTTAAAATTTGTGTTAGTACTGTTTGGAGGTTAGGAAGTTCAATTAGAATTCACGGCTGTAATAAATAGCATAACGGGCGTTTTTAACTCTACAATTTCAAAAACACACACGGAAGAAAGGACGTTGGATCTTTATATAAATATTGTTTTTGGATTTATTAAATATTTATTAATTTTTATTTAATAATAATCGATTAAAGGGAGCTAATAGGGTTCTAGCGAGAACCCTTTACTTCTGGTAGGGAAATCGCAGGGATATCCCTGCTAGATCCCTACCAACATTCCTCGCTGGCGTCGATCGTAACGAAAAACGCCGGGTCCCGCCTAGAGTTTCCCTTCCCGAACCCATCTCGCAAAAGGGACGCACAGCGAGGTCCCTATTAAAATCTAACTCAAATTTCTGCACGGGAATGCAACATAGCAAAATTAGTATAATTCAAATAATTTGCAAAATCATAGAGAATATTTATAATTTTAATAATAATGACCTGTTATTAATATACGAAAAAAAACTCTGTATATTAATACAACAAATGTACTATTATAGCTGATTTGTAACAAAACGGAGGTATGTATTGAAAATTTACATTGTTTCATGTATGTAATTAACATCGGGAATAGTATAGTGAAATTCACAGTATCTACCATAATGAAATTCGTATTAGATAGTATTGGATGGAACGTCACCTGGTTTCCTATTAAATATATACATATATATATACGTATATTGCATATACATATAGAACCGAAATGGCATGAATTCTAGCATTCTAACATAATTACTGAAATCGCCTCACTCAACGGAATGCTTCGTAATAATACTAGTTCCTGAATTACGAACGGAATCCGCGAATAGCCATCGAATCGCAATTATTCTATCCCACAACGACCCAACACGAAGGTTGCGTGCTACTTTGGATTTATATATATACAACCGATCGCAAATAGTTGGTATTCAATTAAAAGCATTTTCCGAGTAAACAGGTAACCGCTCTCTATACCTTTTTGGCAAAAATCATAAAAACCAATATCTCCCAATTGTTTTTGCATCAAAATTAAACAAAAATTGCAGAAATATTTAATGAAAAAAAACAAATCTTTATAAATATTATTATTTTTAAAAAGTAAATTATTTTTTTAGTTTTTCAAAAAAAAATAATGAAAGGAATAATAATAATGATTATAATAATAAGAAAGGAATAATAATTTTATGATAATAATGAACCCCTTTTCATTTGAAGGTACACATTAGAGAAAGAGAGAATTCTGGAGTCATTAGAAGCGACAGAAATGAGAAGTCTGATTGTGACGTGACTAGGAAGAAGAAGTTGGTGTCAGGGAGTATAAGAATAAAAGAAATAATAACTGAAGGTTTTAAAAAAAAAAGCAAAGGAGGAACTAGTCGTTGTCATTCGTCACTTCCGCTAAATAAACCGGGATTTCTTCCTTTCGTCGAGAATAGAAAAAAAGAAATCTGCTTTGTCTGTATAAGTACACATTGGCGTTCTTTTATTCTTTCTTCCGGGCTTTTTCTTTAATCTCCTCTCTCTCCTTTCCTTTTATATATCCTCCTGACCTTCGACCTATACACTTCCTTTTCCGACTTCTTTCGTATCGCAGAGTCCTTCACAACCCCACGACCCGAATTGTACTAGAACCCCTTATGACGCCTTTAGCCCTCGCGAATTTCATAAAAAAAAAGAAGAGGATATATAAATTTAAAAAAATAGAAAAAGGAACGGTTTTATTTCCTTTTTTTTTTGAAAGAGGGCAATTTTTTAAACAAAGAGATTCTTTAATGGATTTGTTTTGATCGCGGGAAATAAATAGGAAAACGTATCTATATTTAGAAGTAAGAATAAGAAAATTTGAAATTTACCTAATGGATTGTTTTTCACATTGCGGTAGAAGGAAAAGTTTTGCATCTGTTTTAAAAAAAATTTTAATACTTTTACGTTTGTTTTGAATGACTGAAAATTTATGTTTTTCACGACGAATGTTTTCATTGGTATTATGCGTGTAAGATGATTGAAATGTTTTAGAATGTAAAATTCTATTTAATTTTCGGGTATAAACGTCATTACTGACTTGGGATAGTTTTTCGCCTTTTTCGTCAATATTTAAAACTCTAAGTTTCATTTTTGGATTCATCAGGATGAAAACTAGAAATCACTATCAACGGTTGCTACAGAAACCGCTTCCATAGCAATCGTTGCTAAGGTTTTCGTTGCTATGGTAACAATTGCTGTATAGTAACCGCTACCATGGCAACCGTTGCTATGGTAACAATTGCTATAGCAAATGTTACCATAGCAACTGTTGCCATGGTAACAGTACAGTTGCTATAGAAACCACTTCCATAGCAACAGTTTCTATGGATACCGCTACCATAGCAACCGTTGCTTAACTATATCAATTGCTATAGTAACCGTTGCTATAATAATTATTATAATAATAACCATTGCCATAAAAACAATGTCGAATCATGATGAAGTTATCTTTAATAATTTTGAACCCACCAATTTGAATTTATAAATTTTTTTAACAATACAACTTTTTTGCAACTATTGTGAAATTTTTAAATATTAGCATTGTTTTAAAAACAAAAACCGCACTTTATATCGCAAAATATTTCATTATTATTTCTATATTAGCCCTGATTTTGCAGTAACAAATTTCATTGTTTATACAGAAATTTTTCTGTCAATGGTGAGGTAACAATGTAGTATATTATTTCAAATACAAAAAAAAAATTAAAAGATTTTTAATAAAAAAAAAATGTATAGAACGTAGAATATTCAGATAATGATACGCTGTTTGCTGGTTTTATTATCACTGAGCAAATACTTCCATTCAAATTTTTTATACGTATTTACGAAAAGAATATGTTTTATATTATTCTATATAGATATATACATATAATGTCGAATAAATGAGGTATTTTTTTTTATAGTATAAATATGTGAAATTGAAATTATGGAGAAATAAAAAAAAAATTGAAATGTATATGTGATGTATGTACGATTTAATTAATAATACTAGAAATTTTATATTTGATGTTAATGCTCAGCGCTTTTTTAATTAATAAAAGCAGCTAATAAAAATGTTTCTATTTTTGATTTTAAATATATACGACAAGTCTGACAAAAAATGGAATATTTTCATTATTACAAAAAATCCATTCTAATTTCATAATTAAAATAGTTAATAAAAATCAAGCTTCCATTTAATTATAAAAGAAATTAAAATATTTTTTACTGCAATACTTGATTTATTAACCAACTTATTATAAATAAATATATACATATATATATTTCCCAATGTGTATATATTTTTAATTAATTCATGTTTGATGAATATAAGTTGTAATTTAACTGCGGATTTTCAATAATAACAGAATAAAATTTAATTATTTTCGTGTTTCATTATCATCAAATTAAACCTCGAATTAAACAATAATAATTAAAAAAAAATGAAAAGACAAATAAATAAAAATTAATTTAAAGCAATCTTATAATAAATGAAAGAGTAAATATATAAAGAAAAAACTAATCAATACAGGAAATTATAAATATAAACTTATTATCATTCAATATTTAAATTGTTATAATTATTTACTATTTTCATTTATTTAAATAGACATATCCTATATAATTCTTTAATTTTACGTTGAAAATCAGGTTCATTAATTATACATTATATTCTTTCGTCGAAAAATCTACGAAACTGATATTAATTATTCTATACCGGAACTTGCCTCCTGTAATTTAAGCAAATTTTTTTCTCCCTTTTTTTTAGGTAGAGATTTTTATAGAAAAAAATAATTTCTGCATTAAATTTCGCTTGGGTTAAAAATTTAATGTATTACAAATTTTAACGTACAGTGAAAAAAAAAATTATTTTGAGAATAAATGTTGAAATCAGGAATTGAAATTTCATTGATAATTGAAGATAATAATTTAAAAGTACGTACAGTTTTAAAGTAGGAATAAAATTTTGACTCAAATTTTTAAAAAGGAAAATAGGGTAAATGTCCCAACTACTGTGATGTAAAACTCAAGACCGACTTTAATGATAAAATAATAGAAGTGTAAATAAAATAATGATTTATTTCTTTTTGTTAAATCACTATTAGTGTCTATTAAAATAGAAACGATACTTTAAACTTGAAAAAAACTAATATATATTATTAAAAATATTAACTTTTTAAAAAATGGCATATGCTGGTATTACTGCAAATTTGCATGAATTACTGTGAATCATGTGCACCAATTACTGTAACGCAAAAAGCGTTGATTTAGAGGTTAGGTTGACTGGATAGATCACAGTAATAGCAGCATGAGAAAAATATACGCATGCTCTAATTACTGTGATAGGTTCAATTGAAAATTAAATAACTAATTTGATAATAGTCGAAATATGCATTTTTAGTGGATATAATATCAAATATCATTAGGAATAAGTTTTAAAGTCATTTTGAAACTGTTTTATGTTCTCAATTACTAAGTTTTACTAATTTTATAAAAATCGCAGTAATTGGGACCTTAACAGTAATTGATACACTTACCCTAGTAGAATTTCAATTGGGGAGTACGTACAGTTTTAGTGAATACAAAAAATAAATTGACTTAAATTTATAAAAAGTACAATTTCGATTAGAAGTACGTATAGTCTTAAAGTATCACACTAAATTTTTTATCAAATTTACAAAAGGGAATTGAATAGTAGAATTCCGGTTTGAACTACATTTATTATTTAGTTTTAATGTGTTACAATAAAATTTTTCTGTTTCTAAAATTGATTGAGTTATAACGATCGATTTGTTTCAAATGCAGAAATTATTGGTTCAAATAAAATATGCAAAAATTATTTGGTTCAAGTAAATATTTATTTGATAATAATCAAGTAACCAATCATTTGAACCAAGTAATTTTTTTTCAGTGTATAAGGTTATTTGAAAAAAATAATTAAAACATTTTTATTAATAATAAAATGATGATTTTGTAGGTATTACTGCCCATGTTGTACTTTGAAAATTACAAGTGTTTCAATTTAGAAGATAGTTGAAAATAAATGTTAAAATCATAACAAGAATCGAAATGTCATTGATAATTGAAGTTGATAATTTAAAGTTATTGAGTCATGTCTTTTTTTTTCTTGTTCACAATAATTTTCGATGACTAGATAATGAAGAACTAAGGCTGCGTGACTGGCAGTTTTGTCGCATTTAGAAATTAAGTATTTTATTCTCGATATAATTGGATGCTGTAAAAAGAAGATGCACACGCCTCAGGGTCAAATCTGGGGTAAAGAATCTCTTTGAAAACAAAAGGAAACGAAAGTAACAACAAACCAAATAAAAATCAAGAAAAATCTCTGTGTAGTCATTTTATTATATTATGATTGGTTGTTTCCTTGACAGACATTTTTTTTTTTTTTGCTTCTCATAAAAAAACATTTAAGAGAAAATTTCAGTTTTTTAAATATGTAAATTTTTCATTTTTATTATAATTATATTTTTCGTTTTATTTTCAATTATATATATATAATATAAAAAAAAATTATAATTGGCGCCTGTCTTTTCAGTTAGTTTTATAATTTTTTAAAAACTTTTTTTTTTTTATCAAATTTTAACAATTATTATTTTTTTAATAAATTATAAAGCAGCTTTTTTTCACAAAGCATAACATTTTAATGCTCGAAGCAACAACCCTCGGTATGGAACAAAAAATAATTTTTTGCCCAATGATGTATTAAAAAAAATACTGATAATATCTGCTATTTTTAATGTTAAATTATTATTAAAATTTAGTTAATATTAAATAAAACAAATAATAAAGAAAATAAATTGATATTCGTTGTTTTCATTCAATGGTTTGTTGACAAGAGAAGAAAAAAAATAGAATAATAACTATAGGTAGAAAGGGAAAATTTGATAGGAATATATAATAAGAAAAAAGAATATAAGTTCCTTTGACAAGTTCCTCTCTCGTGAAAGAGAGAGAGAGAGAGAGAGAGAGAGAGAGAGAGAGAGAGAACGTAAAATTAACTTTTCGAACTCTCTGGACCTATAGAGGTAGCCGTTGAGGATAAGTTGTAGGTATATCAGAGAGGACAGGGCTTCCAGCATCTCGAAAGACTTCAATTCTATCTCGTGGCTGTTGCGGCTGCCGAGTCACGCGAGCCATCAAAGATTCAAAGCCCTGAGGGGCAGCAGATGGTCGTCACGATGCCCTGTGAAAATTGGCAACACCGCACATACATATATAAGCTTTGCATTGGATTTCTGTGTTGTTGACGTTGCATGTACTACTTTGCAAGAGTTGAGAGTATGTGGCAACACTGTAGGGGGGCCTTTAGGCCCGAGGCGGGTTGCCTGCGTGTCAAGAACCGGCTGGCCCCTGACGCCGCCATTGTCTCGGTTCTCCAGAGTTGCTTGGTGGTTTCCCTCTCTTTTTCTCTCTTCCCCTCTCACACTCCTTTCCACACAATACTAAGTTGCCCCTCGCGCCTTCCATGAAGCATCTTTGGTTTCCCCCTCCCCTCCCTCTTTCATCTCTCTACGGTCGACAAGTTCCTGCATCATTTCTGGGTCCATGCCCCCTCCATGAATTGTGATTACACCGCGTGCCAAAGCTCTGACCCCTTTTAATACTGAGCGCAGAGGCGAGTGATCTTTTAAGGCCCCATTACTCTTGGAGAAATGTCTGCTGATCCGAGAGAGAGAGAGAGATTGAAAAGTAACGTGACATCTTCATTGAGTTTGTTATTTTTTGTCATTTCTTGCGATGTTTTTGAAAAGAATTTTTGTCCTTTTGTTAATTGTATTGTTAAGTGGGATTTCCTTGGAGGATATAGAGTCACAGATTTCGAGAGTTTGGGAGTATATTATTATATCGTGAAGACAAGTTTTCAAAATAGAAAATATTTTCTTAGGATCATTTCAATTCATGATGCGCTATTTCTCTTTTTTTTGAAATAGGTCCTTATTTTTGATTTCTTTTAGGAATTATTATTTGTTGTACTTTAGGAATTATTATTGTTCTATATTTCAAAATTGTTATAATTTTTTAAAATGTATCTAAATTTAGATTAATTTACATTATAGAGGAGGTTATGTTCGTTTCTACTTCTAGGCTTTTTCATCGTTATGCAACAAGTAGATAAATTTGGAAACTGTTTTTTTTAAAGCAGTAGTTGTCCGCGAGTTTCCCCTCTAGAGATTGAATTAATAAGGTTATGTTCTTGGTTGGTTTTCATTGTCCCAGCTCGACAAAATCCCTGCTCGGCATTTGTCATAATTCTCGTCAACTACCGCACCCTGCTCTAATGATAATTTAGTTATTTTTAATTTTAACAATAAACCCAGTGTGCACGATAGTAACATGCATGTAACAGTTCCATAACAATTCTATGAAAATGGCCGCTTATTCGTGTAACATGTTACTGGTAAATGAATGTTATGTAACAATTATATACCAGTAACACGTTACACGAATAAGCGGACATTTTCATAGAATTGTTATAGAACTGTTACATGCATGTTACTCGTGTACACTGCGAAGTCACTAGAGCAGGGTGCGGTAGTTGACGAGAATTATGACAAATGTCGAGTGGGGACAATGGCAACAAACCTCTTTTCTGTTTCTGGACATTTCGATCGTTACGCCACAAGTGGACAATTTTGGAAACAGTGTTTTATTTAAAACATAACTTGTCTGCGAGTTTCCACTCTAGAGATTGAGTTAATAACTATTAGACTAGAAAACAATCGTGTGAGTCGTGACTTAGTTGCTGTTTCAGACGTTTATCACAAAAACGTGTAAGACTGATTATTATATTATCAATAAACTTGGCCATTATTCAGTAGTAGTTAATTCTTTATTCGTGAGAGTAGATAAATTTATGGCGTTTCCTGATAATCAATATTTGAGCAAATATTTCTCTCATTTAACCTCAAATTCTTCATTTATACTATTATGTCGTTTTTTTTTACTTTTTTATAAAAATTGTTACTTCAAGCAAACTTTTTACATTTTCTTAGCTTAAAATACTCTACATTTTTTATAAATGATAATTTTTAATATTTACGTAAAAGTAAAGGCCTAAGCAGAATAGCTTTACGAATATGAAGCATAGGTTAGAAAAGAATAGATATAATATATTAGTGTCCTTTTTTATCTCATGCATCTTGCAAACGAATTTCGCGAAGCTATTGTGCGTTGGCCCTAAGAAAGCAATATTAAGAAAAGGTTGGGTAGCAAAGGATCAAACGTTTCTGATTGGCTCGCAATATTTTCGGAAATATGACGATCTAATAAGAATCTATCGTCACGTAGCAATCCAACCTTACTTTTTATCTCTTTCAAATTCTCGTCCATTTTCACAATTTTTACCAGACGTATTATTTTTATTCCCCCTTCTTTTTAATAATTATTTCTGTTATTAACCTGCTTATCCAACTACTAAAGTGTAAAAAAAACATTATATTATATTCTCTAAACATACATATTTTGTTAACAATATATAAAGAGATAATATAATGTAACTGAAAATTTCAAAATATTTCAACTTTGTCATTATCTCCACTGAATTTCACTATAAACTATTTCAATTCTCAAATTATTAAATAAATTAAATTAAATAATTATTACAGCTTTTCATTTATTATGAGTAAAATTTGCATCAAGTTAATTTAATATTAAACAAGAAAAGTTTATAATAATAATAATAATAATTCAAAAATTATTCAAAATATAATCTAAATCAAAGTTTATATAAAAGAAAACTTCTATAATTAAAGTTGAATTAAAAATTTTTATTATTAAAAAAAGAAAGAATTTAACGTGCCAATAAAGACATAAAACTCCTTAAATTTATCTCTAACAATATAATAATGTAAGTCTTTCAAAAAAGAAATAACAAGTTTATAATATTATTGAAGTGACGAGTTTTCGAAAGTCGGAAGTACCTTTTTAGAACCACTTTTGTAAGAATTTTATGGGAACACCTGTCCTTTTATGAACCTATTTCCTGTTTTAAAAAGAATTCTAAAGAATATATATAGGTTTTCTGAGGATAAAATCAGTTTCATAAAAATTTTTTAACTTCTTTTTAAAAGGAAATAATATTCATTTAATTTCGAAACATTAATTAGAGGAAAAAATTAGTTTTACTGAAATTTTTATTTATGCAGTAAAATTACATTTCGAAAAAATCAAATCGAATTTTTTTTTTTTTAGAAAAGAATAATTTATTTAGCTCTATTGAGATATTTTTTTTAAAATTTTTAGCCGTAAAAGAGTATTTAATAAGAGCTTATAAAAATAATGAGAAGTTTAGGGAATATTTTATGGTTTAAAGCATGTTTTAGAGTTGAAAATATATTGCTACATGTACATATCCGACCTCGTATATATATATACACTTCTGTCGTCTTCTCACAAGCTTCAACTATGACTTCTAAACGCAAGCTAAACTCTATCTATAGTCTATTTTATATGCCGGAAGCATCGATGCATTCACCGGATGAATCGCTTTGAAAAAGGTAGCAAGCTATGATGCAATTTTCGCTCTTTCTTTGTGCAACATGAAAAAGCTTTTGGATATCGAAATGTTCTAACGTTAAAATTCTCAATGTATTATCCATTTAAGTAATAATTCAAATTGTTATTTCCTTTAGAAATTATAAATACATGAAAATATAATAATTCCACAATGTATTGTAATATTTTATTAATCTGAATATATATAATAATTAAAAATAATACTAATAATGAAGTAAAAATTGTAAGTTACTCTAAAAACTATAAACATGATGAAATTGTGTTACGTATTTTGTATGTATATACATAGCTTCTTACGTTACAGATGAAGGAGCCAAAAATTTCACATTTCAGACGTTCTACTGTAGTTCTCCATTGTGGAGATACCATTATTTAGGATTTAAATCCCCCACGACTAAAGTACAATACACAACTAATGCGCTGCATGGAATAGAAAAAGACACGAGTAGATCTGTATCCTTTTCAATCGTATTTCTAACAAAGAGGTTAGAAGAACGCATTTTGCGTTCAGGAAAAAAATGTTTTATTTTATATCGAGTCTATTGATAATAATTTATGTATTGGTGAATTACTGATACAGGAAAAACAAAACTTTGAAATAAACAACAATAAATTAAATAATGTTAACTTATTGTTTTCATCGCAAATAATAAATTTTGAAAAATTATTTTTACTTTATTTTATCATATCGAAATATGAGAAAATTTTAATTATTATTTTATATACCTATATGGCGAAATGGAACTTAACTTTAATAATATAATATTAAAATGCTTTGAATTTATTTTCGTAAATGAGTTTTTGCAGTAAATGAGATATATAATATTATACAAATATATATATATATATATATATATATATGTTATTTGATAATTCCACAGAATACGATCTAATAGGAAAATAATATAATGTTAATATGAAATAATTGTTGTTGGAATATTCATAATAACGACATAATTATCTCGTCAGTTTAATATAATTAAAAGCAATGCATTTGGTGATCTCTATAATTTCCCAGGACCTGATTCCTTAATAAACATAAATATACATATATAGAATATATGATTAAATAGAATAATAACAGTTCTTTTAAAAGTATTTCGAGAGATAAAAAATAATTTTTTTGTTTGTTATCAGTTGTATATATATACTTATAGGGATATAATGATTATTTAAATGATAGTAACTGGTTTACGATGACAGTCGAGTTAGCGAAACTAGAAGTTTTCAAATAAAAATATATGCACAGTTAATAGTACAAGTATTCTTAAACTTGTTGAAGCGGTCTTTGAGAAATAAAAAAAAATTTCAAATTATGTTTAAATTTATATGTCTGTTGTTAATTATTTTTGCAACTAGGATCAAAGGACAAGTAAGTAATTTATTTGCACGGTTTTAGTTACAGTAACAAAAATTTTACGCGACGTGACATATATTTTTTTTTATTAACTTTCACAAAGGGTCGATGTAAAAAATTTTATCTCCCTCAATCAAATAATTAAAAAAAAGTCCTAGGCGTGTTGGAAAATTATATATTTTATTAACCTTCTAATAGTTCTTAAATTTTTTAGTTGTATCCTCTGACAAATACATTTACGGTAACCAACTATGAATTACAACCGAATAATAATTTTCTACAAGTTTTACAAAATGGCTTGATAAGGTGGACAAAGACAATTGCACAAGATACAAATGAAATAAAAGTAAGATTATTTTTTTTGTTAAATAAAAATTAAAGAAGTATAAAAATAAATAACAATATTAAATATCATGATGGTATTAAGAAAAAGAAAAAAATAACTTCTATTACAATTTAGGTTTATGTCCAATCATTGTCTGTTCAACAACTTTTGCCAGCTGGAGATTTGTGTAATCCCACATTTTTCTTTGACTATCTTAGACAATTGACTGCTGTTTTATCGAATGGTCGATCTTGTCCAATACAAACGGTGGGTAAAAAATGTGTTTAGAATTTTTTTTTTTTTCTAATATTTATTCGGCTAAAATAATAATTAATAAAATTTATTGCGCACACAGTTACACTGAAAATAAAAATTATTTATTTTAAGTAAATATTTATTTGATAACAATAAATTAACTGATTATTTGAATCAAATAATTTTTTTCTCTATTATCGAATTCATTGTACGTTCAAAAGATATTTTTATTATTTACAGGGAACAACAATCAATATATTTAAACCATACACGGAAAATCTTATGTATCCCAAAAAGTCGTGTATTGGAAACGAGGTTCTTAATTTTACATTATATGACAAACTAAACAAGTTAAAGTTAATTTCTTTAGAAGTAGAATTAACATCCAATGGTCAAGCGTGTGGTAATTTTAACTGAAATTTTAACCGTGAAAATTGTAGTGAATATTTGTATAATTTAAATATATATATTTTTCAACAATTAAAAAATTTTGAATCCAGTAAAAATTTTACCACCCGGGGGAAATTGTTTAACTTTTTTTTATAACCAAAATCTGTAAAAAAAAAAGTTTTTTAAATTTATTTAATTTTTAATTTTTTAAAAAATTAATTTTTTAGTTAAAATTTTCCTTTTAGTTAAAATATGAATATTTTTGAATGGAGTTTATTTTTAAATTAAGAATAAAAATGATAAACAAAAAAAAAAACAGTAAAGAAATGCCTATTTTTCACTTTCAGAAAAACGTGTGTAATTTTTAGCAGTTGCTAATAGTAAAATGTGCAATTAATCGTATTTATAATTTCAAACTGCAAGAAACTCATAATGAGATAAAATAATGCGTATAAATCAAAATACATTTCCTTTATTTTCACGTGGTTCAAAAGATTAATTTAAACGTAACACAATTATATTCTCATTAAGTGCGTTTATCATTAATCTAGTTTAAATGTGTTTTCTACTATATACATATATATATATATATATATATATATATATATATAACACTATATGTATAATATGTATAACTATACTTGAATGGGAAAATATTCAAGAGAAATACGAAAGAAGGAAACATTTGAGTGAGAGAGAGAAATTTTAACATTAGTTATACTCATATATAAATTGGGACAATTGTATTTCTTTCCAGAGAATTTTTCTTAGGATTTACTCTCCTCATTATGTAAAACTTCTTTTTTTCCCCACGCCCTGATTTCACCATTGTTTCACTTCTCGTTAGAGTCGTAACTGATATTTTATTGTTTTTAAGAACAGGAACTGTGAATGTCATAAAAATATCATAGAATAGAAAAATTACATTTGTAATTTAATTAAATAGGCTAATTGTTTCATAAGATGGTTAAATAGGATTTTTTTCAATTACTAGTTCCTATGAAATATAAATTAAGAGTTTTTTTTTTATTTTAAATCTATTTTCCATATTATAATTTTTATTGTTTTCTTTGTCTTCCAAAGTTTTCCAATACAACACTGGATTACTAACGATTTCGATTTCTTTGAAGGTATGTATATACATTGTAACAAATAATACAAATACTGAACTAAATGTATTTTTTTTTGAAAAAGGGGAAGCAAACAAGAATTATAAGATGTAACATCTGCATTCTGTCACGTATTTCTCATTTTATGACGAGACCATTCACAAATGTTCGGAAATATTCAATAATACACGATTTAATTCAGACAAATCTGAATTCTAGTATTGAATTTTTAACAATTATTTTTATTTTTTTTACTGCAATAATTTTTTTTTGTAATTTTAATTTGAAATTACCGCGCGTGTAATCGATATATAGTCATTTCTTTGAACGATAATCGATTTTATTTAGAATACATAACCTCAAAATTATGACCCCACTACTTTGTATATATTATTTATTTATTACACCTCTCTTATTTTTTTTATAAAAAGAATTAAAAGTTCCACATCCATATGTGAATTTTACTTAATACATGCGCTTAAAATTTATCTTTAAAGTTTTGTTTTCATTGGATCAGTAATTATCAAATAATAATATCAATAGACTCGATATAAAACAAAACTTTTTTTTTCTTCACACCTTACGTTTCTGAACGTAAAATACAACACTGGTTGCACATATTGAATTCACTAAATCAATTACTTCGAGTCACTCGAGATCAATCAATTCACAATTAGAAAACAAATCCAACAATTGCGTGTAAGCACTCGTGGGATTTAAATCTTAAATAATAGTGACTATGCAATGGAGCGAACTACGAGTAGAAGATCTGAAATATGAAACTGTTGTATCGTTTTCTTTTGTTTAATTATCGTTAAATATTTTTCAGTAAACAAAATATTTAGAATATATTTTTGTAAAGCATTCCTGGGATTTAAATTTCAAATAATGGTGTTTCTGCAATGAAGAGCAACCAGTAGAATATCCGAAATATGAAACTGTCGGATCGTTTTCTTTTGTTTAATTTTCATTAATTCCCTTTTAGTAGACATTTAAAAATTTTTTTTATAAATAACAAAAATAAAATTTTGGTATATGGAAAAAAACATAATTTATTGCAGTAAAAAGCGATGCTATTTTATATATATATATATATATATTTTTTTTTTTCTACGAATCATAAATTTGAACAATAATAAAGTTTTTACTGTTGAAAAATATTAAAAACCTTTTTGTAAGTACAAGTAGCAAGTGCTTTTCTCGGTAGTGATTTCTGATACGTAATTTATAATATCGGGCTGACCTCGGGCGTCTGTAACGCCTTCCACTATTGCAACCAGCAAGTCCTCGTCGAAAGTGCAACGTGCAGATCGCATCGTGATCTCTTTTTTTTTTCATCTCAGAGTGCTCTTTAGGGTCAATTACACTCCAGAAACTTGAATCTAAGGAACACGTTCAAGGACAACTCGCTTGGGGCAAATATACTTTATTTATATATGTCACTTGGACCATATTTATTTACATGTATATTAAAAAAAAATATTCAAATGAATCTTTGATAAATAATAATAAAATAATAATAATAAATAATAATCACAGATATGAACGTTTTAACTGTTAGATGCAAAAAAATCACGTGTAGCGCTTTCTCGGTCTCACAGACCGGGAAATAAAGTCCCTAGACAGAGCTTTTTAACTAATATTGGATAATTTGTTACTATTCTGTATAAAGAGGTAATTTCTTTGTTTTGTTCTCAAATATTTTTTTAATATACTACAATACTGTTTATGCAACTTTACAAAATTGCCAAATAAAAACAAAATTCATTGAAATAGAAAATATCTGTAGCAAAAAAAAAAAAAAATTTCTCTAAAACCAATATTCAAAACATAAGCAAAATTGACAAATTTTTTTTTTTAAATATTAAAAAATAATAAAGTTGAATAAACATACATTTGTTATAAAATTTGTTCCATAAAATTCAAATTCAGCAAATATTTAATTTTTTAAATCATACCACATACCGTATTGTAATTTTTCCTTCTTGAATGTTTATTAAAAAAAAAAAAACTTCACTTTATTTAAAATCAACTGCTAACTTATATAATATTATATTTATCCACATATATATATATATAGCTACAATATCAATATTTTAGTTTTTTACAAGCCCGAAGCAAATTTTTCCGCAATATTCGCCCGTATTTTATTAAAGTGACGCGCTAAAAGTTTAAAAAAAATAGTAAAAATTACACTTCAATAAAATGATCAATATATCTCTATTTCTGTGCCATAACAAAATTTATCTTCAATTTGAATTTTACCCTCCATATACGTTCATTGTCCTATATATTTTATTTTCATTTTGCGAATCAATTGCCCAGTGCAATTTTTTTTTCACCTTTTTCAACACTATTACGCAACATATGGCGTTCTTTGAAATTAGCCACGAAAAATAGGGAAAAAAAGAGATTCAAAGAATAACAGAAAAATAAAATAGAATATAGTCTATTTAGTTAAGGATATATATATATATATATATATATATATATATAAATATGTTTGGAACAATAAATGAGGGAGTCAATAAATTATTATTATTATTTGAGCAATGGGATATATATTTTATGCGCGTGTGTGCGATCTGAACGGTAAATAATCAATTCTTGTATTCTTTGTATAAGACCGCGTCACACTTTCATTGTTTGGGCGATTTTTGATTGAGAGAGAATGGGGGCCTTACTCGCCATCAGGATATTTCTTATATATTATATAGAGGAATATTTACTCTACAAGTCAACGGTGACCCTTTTGTCCTGTTGCGCTTAAACGGCAATATTCGAGGGGCTGAACGAAAGGCGATTTTTCAAAAATTCAAGTCAGTTTACATCTGCCGACGCGATCCCCTGTTATGTATTGATTTAGATATTAAAAGTAACGTCAAATGAAATGGAATTACTAGTTCACAAAAAAAGAATGAATTGAATTTCGTTTAAAAATTCTTATATATTTTTATGATTAAAGTATATAATTGGATTTGAAATAAATAATAATAATAATAATAAATAACTATTCACAAATGTTAGGAAATATTCAATAATACACGATTTAATTCAGACAAATCTGATATCTAATATTGAATTTTTAACAATCATTAATTTTTTATCAATTATTTTTATTTTTTTTACTGCAATAATTTTTTTTTGGAATTTTAATTTGAAATTACCGCGCGTGTAATCGATATATAGTCATTTCTTTGAACGATAATCGATTTTATTTAGAATACATAACCTCAAAATTATGACCCCACTACTTGGAATATATTATTTATTTTTTACACCTCTCTTATTTTTTTTATAAAAAGAATTAAAAATTCCATATCCATGTGTAAATTTTACTTAATACATGCGTTTAAAATTTAACTTTAAAGTTTTGTTTTCATTGGATCAGTAATTACCAAATAATAATATCAATAGACTCGATATAAAACAAAACTTTTTTTTTTCTTCACACCTTACGTTTCTGAACGTAAAATACAACACTGGTTGCACATATATTGAATTTACTAAATCAATTACTTCGAGTCACTCGAGATCAATCAATTCACAATTAGAAAACAAATCCAATTGCGTGCAAGCACTCGTGGGATTTAAATCTTAAATAATGGTGACTCTGCAATGGAGAAGTAAAATCCTACAAGTAGAAGATCTGAAATATGAAACTGTTGGATCGTTTTCTTTTATTTAATTCTCATTAATTATTTTTCAGTAAACAAAATTTTTCGACAGCGACTTAAATAAATAAAAAAAATTTGTATTTACGAAAGTTTGAAATAACCAGTGACAGTAAAAAAGACAATCTGTAAATTGTGAGGATAACAAATTAACAAATGATTTTATTAGTGATGAGCAATAATTATTACTTTTAATGTGGTGTCAAATTGTACAGTGGTAGGGAATTTAGGTTATGTATAGCGTCAGTTTTACAAGTTTACGGTATGTTTATTTGTTTTTTGTCAGTTTTTA